CTGACATGCTTTTGCATTTTGTGAGAGGTCTTTATGTAGCCTTGTTCTTACCGTTAGAAGGAAAAAAGTGAAAAAAATAAAAATTAAGAAAAAATCAGGGGTTATAAGTGACCAATAAAAATAATTTGCCCACGTGAAAAGGATGAATAAAGCAGCAAAAGGGGTCCTGAAGTAACCACCATCCTTACTGTACCTACTTATGCAACAACTGTGTAATAGAACGTCGCCACTATATGGTAACAACTTATTGGTTAGATGTAGTAGGTTTTCTGCCTAACTAGGCTATCATTTTTCTTTTTTCTCTATCTCAAATTTTAATTGAGAGTCATCGAGTTAGCCCTGTCTTCCAGGGTTTGTTTGCTAGTTTTCTTTCATTCGCCCACAAGACTATTTCAGAAGTTTCCCGCAACCTGAAGAAATGGCTCAAATTGCTCGAATACGCTGGCCAAGAGACGTTCGACGTGACAATGTTAGGGCGATGCTGGACAGTACTAAGCCAGTACTTATTGCCACTCAACATTTGTAAGTCTCACAGGTTCTCATTGAGCCCTTCACGATTCACCGCCAAGTGTTCTGAAGGGGCCCCAGTACAAGTCAAGTAAGAAAGAAATATGTCTAGAAACAAGTGACCTGGATTCTCCACTATCTGAATGTTCTGGCCTGGGACAACGAGTTTCTCTACCAAACTGCGCCTATACTGTAGGCACGGGACTCATCTTTTGCTAGGAAGCCTCTCTTAATATTTTTCCAGAGAATCTCTTAACTTATAAACTTCTCATGCAAAAATCTTTCCCTTCAAAAACTTCATGTACGTGAGACTTTTGCTACTGAGCTTCGATTTTCCCTAAATTTCTGAGTATCGGAAACATTCAAGCAAGCTTTTCTCCGGATTTGCTTATCTCTAATTCGCGCCACGTCTATGAACAATGTCTTTTTTCACGTACCAGACCTTTCTACCTCTTGTTTCTTCCGATCTCTTCACTCTCTTGACCCATTTGAAAACCGAGTAATGGCTTCTGTATATCGACTGAATGCGTAGTTGAGTTATTTCCCCACTTATTGGCAAACTCAACGCCTGCTTTTATCCGTTTCTTCTATTTCTGAGCGGCGTCGGGATCGGTCTGAGGCTTTCCAACTACTGCCCCTAACTTGACGCAGAGTGATCAAGGCTCCTACCCCCTTACGCACATACCCTATATCTACACCCCCAACTCATCGGTCCCAGACTTATCGGCCAATATAAGACTTTCCAGAGATGCTGGTACGGATGGTGAAATACGTGAAGCCCAAGAACAGTTCCTGAACGCTACCTGGATTCGTTATCTCGCACAGGCTTTCGGTAGAGCATTTTTTACATTTCGGTGAGTTTATCTGGATTTTTTTGATAATCTGATTTTTTTATTTGGCAAATACGAAATTATCAGAAGGCTCATGATAGTTTGGCTGAGAATCTCATTTTCAGTACTGTTCTACCGAATCCTGCAGAATCCCTCTTCGTACCCGAACTGTGCCTTTCGGCTCGTATCTATCCATCAAATTTGACTTATGATCTTACTTTAACTGAGGTACAATTTCATTCATTTTGATATTGTTATGAATTGATCGGGTTTTGATTAATAATGAAGATAAATTCACCTGACTTTTAAAATCGATCCTTCGTACATTATTAGGTAATGGGAAGAGCGCCGCCACAGTACGAATAATCAAGGAATCAGATTTTAGACCGACTCTGTGTCTCTCGTTGGATTAAAACACCAACTAGTCACAGGTTTGACCAGTGTCTAGCTTACTATTGCATACAAGCTAGTCACTGGTCAAGCTGAATACACATTCAAACGGCCCTGTGATTATGAGTGGTAGTCGAGTGCGTGGCGCACGTCAGAGAATGATTGGTTTAGCCATGCAGTTGCTTTTTTGCTGCATGCTTTTGCTTGATTTTTCTCTAATTACTACGGACTGAGTCGATTATTCCAAGGCATCCCTTCCTCCTTGGAATGCGCCATGCATTTGGCTCCCATTCAAAATCGTGAGGCATTTTGAAAGCGTATTCGGTCTGATCACTGACTTGCTGATTCGAAATGGCGACAATAGGGGCTTTAGCTGGCAATGAAGTTGCCAAAGTTGGTCAGGAAATTCCACTTTATTGAAGCCGAGTGCATAGCGCATCGCAGTGAACAGATTGATTTTGCTCAGTGATTCACCCTTTTTCAATCAATTTTCAGTCATCACTGATTTCCAAGAGCATCTCCTGCTCTATAGTATGTGCCATGTGTTGAGCTCCATTCGAAATCATGATGCGTTTTGAAAGCGTAATAGGCCTGACCAGTGGTTAGCTATTTACGATATCGGCCACTGGGGTTTAAACCCAATGAAGGATCCAAAGTTCGTCAGGAAATCCCTCCCACTATCCCCTGCACACCTTTTAACATTTTACATGTACTCTCCGCTACTGCACAGAAAATTTTTGTTCACTCTTTGATCTTCTAGTTTAGAAGTGTTGAGTTTTTTNTTTTTTCATTTGACTTGCATGACGGTTAACTCTCCAAGTATAGGATGTAGAATAATCAGCAAAGATCGCTGTGCCTTTCCCATACCTTCGGCTTCTGTTTAATCGCAAAGGTCCTTAGCGTCAGTCAGGCAGTTCTGTGGTGCTAAGTGTGGATGATTCCGAAGGACAGGTAATATGCTGATGCGATCGGCGAGTTGAGCGTTGTGTGTGGGCCTACATCTAAATCACAAGGGAAAGTCATGAAACTACTTCAAAATCGAGAAGGATGTAAGCTTCAGAAATGTGAGTCTGCATTTCAGCCTCTGAGACAACTACGAGAATGGGGTGAGTTTTACAATGGTGTAGCCGCAGGTCTCTCCGTTGTTGGCGCGGATGTGGCACACGTTGATCATGAATGGCTTACTTTATGTCATACAAGCGACAAGGTTAGATACTTTTTGTTTTTCGTTATTTTTTTGTCACTACGCTAACTAATGCCCCACCCCTTCGTCTGATGTTCAATAGAACTCGTTGGCATCATAGAAGGTAGCCCGTTGGTTTTATCAGACACCGCTATGAACTTCTAGGTTAACACCGATGATACATAATGATAACTAATGATATGAATTGATAAGTGTTATGCCGTTGCGCGTACTTCTGACCTCATTGCAGATTTCACCTCCTACTGCTTCGGGATTACTGTATGCGCTAGGTCTGAACGGTCACTTACCGAATTTCAATACGTTCTATGTACATGAAGTGTTAGCGACCCTGGATAAGTTCTCATCCATAGCTCTACTACTCGGAATGGCAATGTCAAAGATCGGTACGGCTGATCGACAGGTACGCCATTTCCTCGTACAGTGTTGATTACTCCATAGAATATCTAGCCAAACAACTTGATATGACAGCACAAGGTGGTTTTTAGATGGCTTTAGAGTTCTTATAAAATCGTGCCTAGCGCTAGAGGATCTTTCAAAGGATTTTCTTCTGTCTGTAGACCGGCAGACTTACGCCCACCCTGAGACCACAACCAAAGACACTAAGCATGCCTGAGTGCACCCACAGAAATCTGTTATTTTTGTTGCACGTACCCAAGAAAGGCGCACAAATATACTTACAAAGTTTTGCCCTCACGGACAAACCCACAGAGATACACGGAGAAGCAGGTTGCTTTTAGGATTTTCGTAGCATTAGCCCTAGAAATATCGCCTACAGACTTTTTTGTTGGTCTTAGAGTCATTCAAAATTGTTATATAGACTTTGAATTTGTATAACTAGATATTCCATAACTCTCCCCAAGCTTCCCCATAAACAGGGTTTGATGACTTTGCCTCNGTAAAGAGCTAAAACTTCATAATTTCCTTTCTCTTGTGGATCCGTGAGGTTGCCAAGTGCTCACAGACATCCCTAGCTGGTACGAAGGAGGTAATACTAAGCCCGTTGTTGCCGCTCGTGAGGTTTCGACCGCTTATATGCTTAATCAGATGATTATCCCGTATTTAAGAACTCATATTTTGTATCTTGGCTAAACGTAATCACAAGATGGCTAAGCTCAGCTTACCAGTTTCACCAAAGCGGTTTTGTGCTCACGCTGGTGCCAGCTAGAGATAGATAGCACACATTGAGAACTCAAGTTGTACCCCACAAAAAGATCTCGCATAGTTCGATGTGGTTCACCAAGTCATTAACAGACTTTACTAAACCCTGTGGCATTTTATTTCTTTCATTGATTTTTTATGTCCAAAATACAAATGATATTACAAATATTTTATTCATGACAAATAAAACAATCCAACAAACTTCTTCCATTTCAAGGCGTAACCTGATAACCATAATAATAACCCGGATTAAGGAAAGCATTTAAAACAAAACGATTATTGAGTCATCTTCACACATTTCTAGTATATTCATAGTTAAAGCCTGACAGAAAGAGCACTCAAATACAACCAAAATAATTAAAATATTATACAAGCGCAACGTATATTTAAGCAGAAAACCGTAACAGTTTGACTCGTGTGTGTATAACACAGGATAATGTGTGATAAAGAACTATTAATATGATAGTCTAACTTGTTACTAAGTGTTAGCAGTAATATTTGATACATGATGATAAAATAGCCGTACTTAGAAGCCCTTCGAGAAGGCGCTTACCGGTAGGTTAGAGCTATCGGTAATGTTGTTTTGATCGTTTCACTGATCCTTCGTCCTCACCATTGTTGTTACTCTTGTAGCTTCTTTCTTGAAGAGGAGCTTATTTAGTTGTTTACAGTATACTTAGCCTATCCTAAGGGCGGGGTGCCACAATTAAAAGAGCCTCATATAGCAGTATTAGGTTCGATTGATCGCCAGCGCGTCCCAGAGCGTATAGGCTAGGCTATATTCAATTGAATTACAAGCTTCCATTATCATTTAGGATTCGAAAAAAACATGTTGATAACTATAACAGACCCAATGTAATAAGTAAAATGCAAGTTTCGCGGGACAAATGTGAAAAATTTCTGTGAAGATTGCGGAAAGTGGAAATTCAGCCCAAGTATACCCCCGCCATAATCCTCAGTTATCGCTTATCGGCCTCGTAATCGCCTAATACCTAGACCAGATCGCCTAATAAGATATGCATACGTTACTAAAACAGAACCCAGATTAAATCCATTCAGGAATATCCACGTTTAGGTATTCTACGAAGGCACAAAACATTGAGCTCAGCATAGTGAATAGCTTACTCGATGATGTACGTAACCATGGATGCTTTAATAATTGTTGGCATGTAGGACGACGATTTTCATCAATGTCGAGAGCATCATTGATTATACCTACATAAAAAATAATTTTAGGTGCGAAATAATCCAAACAAAACGGGACTCACTTAGAGTTGAATGGTCCAACGTCTTCAAAAGCGGTGGTAGTTCACCATTTACCCATAGAGCATAGTTAGTGTCACTGCTGAAACGAAGACTATTGAATATCAATTGATACTGAGAAAATACAGCCAACTTACATATCAGCTCGATCCCAAGCAAGATCACCGGTGAGCATTACAATTAGAACAATACCGGCTGACCATACATCGTTTTTCGGCCCACTGAAAGACAACAAATTAACAATTTTGAACCTTGTAAAAAACTATTTTATTCCTAGGTAACAAATGAGTAACCTGTAGTCAGTATTGAAAACTTGTGGTGAGAGATACTCATAAGACCCGCATATTCGTGATAATCGACGATCAGGTTCATCGTCAGATTCACGATAGCAATCAGCTAATCCGAAATCAGCGATTTTGAGATTACCTTGAATCAGGTAATGCTACGGCATAGAGTAATCTCCAGTAACGGGGAAACAGTCTTACCTCGTTTATCTATCAAAATATTTTCGGGTTTAATATCCCGGTGAGCAACGTAGAGGCCATGTAAAAAGGAGAGACCTTGGAGGAGTTGTCGAAAATAATTAGCAGCTCTTCTTCGATCAATTCCGCCTTTGTTCACTGAAAGTATCTCGATGTACTTCTTTCGGAAGGATTACGGCATGCCTACCTTTGCATCGAGAGATTGATTTAAGAACATTTTTCACAAAAAAAAAACTCACTAGCTATTTCGAAAAGATCACTTCCGTCTACATATTCCAAATAGATGTGCTTTTCATTCAAAACATGATCAACACGAGAACCATAACAGCGTACAATGTACTTATTATTGGCTTCAGTTAATGTTTGTTGAAGCATAACCTGTAAACAATGTGATCAGATGTATTTTATCGGCAAACGCACTAGATTCAAGCAAATTTTTCTTGTAATTAACCGGCCTAGTAACTTATTTCATTTATTATTATTTATTTATTTATTTATAATCCATTTCTATGAATTTATTCATTTATTATATATTTTACATCTATAGCTCCCTTGTTATCTTAATTTATTTGTTGTTATGTACTACATGCTCGCAATTCGAAATTTGCTCCCATTACAACTCAGTATTTTCGACGTGGGAGCAACTGATATAGTCAAAATAGGCCTGGGAAAGCACCACATGCTACGCTGAATGGATTGAATTCTGTTTAATGTCCCATAGGTGACGTCAATGTGCTACAGCCTAAATACATCCATCCCCATCCCTTTTATTTCCTTCGAAGAGCCGGAATAATTGAACATTACATCCCCATCTAACTCATCAAAGTTTCGAAAGTAACTTGGTTTAGACTTGCGTCATGCTATGATGTCACGGCTTATCAAGTCTAATTTAATCCTATAAGTCTATCTGCATGAGCATGAGTTCGCCGCGTTGGCAGCCGCGGACTTTGCGCCCACCTACTTTGCACCTTTCTCTGCAGCTCGCTCGTTCATTGTACTTTGCCCTCTGCAGGCGCATGGTTGTCAAGAAAAACGACAACGGGAGAGTAATGCTTATCGAGTTACTCCGCTTACCACTAGGTAATCTTTAGGTAGGTCTAGGTAATATACAATGAAATACTACGCCAAACCGCACTCGAAGTAAATAAGGTTTTGGCACCCGGCTAATCGTTTGTCCCTAATCTGTTCGAAATTAAGAAATCTTAGGTTACGGCTATTAGGAAGCCATTTTCTACTGTAGCTGGAATTGCTACTAAAAAAATGTTTTTTATATCTGTAGGTCAACTAATTCTTATAGAACGACGTAGCATAGCAATCAATCAAGTAGGAATTCAAGTCTGTGTATGGGAGACCTTCCTCACCTCATAATCGACCTCCTCAAGCTGTTTCGTATTCAATTTTGACAAACGAATACGTTTCAGTGCTATTTTCCGAGCAGAAACGACACTACGGCTTAGAGGGTTGGCAATCAGACTAACTTCTCCAAAGCTTCCTGAAATCGTCAGATTAGAGCTAGTCTGTTTGACTGCGTCAACACTCCCATAAGCAGTCAAAGCTTACCAGATCCTAGATCTTTGATGATGTTGTAATGAATTGGAAGAGGCTCTGATTCCTCTGATGTTGTTGGGCTATAACTGTTAAGATCGGCGTCTTCATTGCTGTTACATGACCGTATACTCGGGCTTCTGGGTTCCTGGGAGGGCGACCCATCATATCCGGAATCGGTGGATGCGGGCGAGCATGACGTCGATACACGTGAATCAGGATGGCAACCATAGCGTTTATAGTGTTCGCCGTTGAATATTGTAGATATAGAGGAAAGAAAGGCCATCATACGGAGAGAAATCGATTACGGCAAAGGACATAAGCAAGTCTGCAATAGGGCTGTAGTAATAACTTTGCAGATAAGGCGGAGTTGACCTCAGGTCGTAGCCGATATCTGCTGGGCACGGCTAACCTATCGGCCACCTCATAGATCTTGTAAGAACTCACCTTTGATGCAATGGCTGCAAGTGTAACTGTGAGTGATATCCTCACAACCTCAAAATGTGTACAAATCACAGCAGCGAGAAAGACGAAGTCTGAAATTAGCACTAGAAACGAGCATCAGGTTCAACTATTTCAATCTAATCGCATTACAACGGAAATGTTCGGAACATGCGAGAAAAATGCCACAGCGTTCGGAAAGAATTGCCTCACGTTAAGATTTCTTCATTGGAATTGACCCCATCGATATAATCTGCTTGCGATATTTACAATTTACCGCGTCAGATGGAAGATGATGCGAAAACACTAGTTAAAGGATCAATTAGGTTGGGGACGAGGCGAATACTTACAAATCCTTAATATCATGAGAAATTCTAATATATTATTATTAGCCTTCTGATATCATAGTTTCAGCTAGCCCATAAAGCAATTATCTCTACACTGCATGCGGAGATTGGATAGCAATCAAGAAATGTACTCTTATTCACCACAATACCAGTAGAATCGAAGAACGATCAAGTTATGCTTTATCAGTGATGAGAGAATGAGACAAAAACTTCGAATTGCACGAATTTTTCCGATTGTATAGCTTTTGGAACGTGAAGAACCTACTTTACGAGAATGAAAAATGAATCCAAGGAAAGTTGTGTCACAAGATCGGCTTCCTCAATGATGACACACAAATCCGTTTTGATTTCGAGAAATTTCTGAATTTCGCAAATCGCGTGATGACATAATGACGCCGACTGATGACAAATATATGACAGCGAATGAATAACACCGATCGGGTTTCTGCTCAATGCCAATGAAAAAATTGGTGATGCGGAAAGGTGGAAGTAACATCAAGTGAACTACATAGCGTATGTAAGTGTAGAAAGAAAAAAATTAGTTGATCCTTCGGGAATTTCGAAAGGCTAGAAAAGAATGGAATTCCACTGTTACCGTTCTGGAAGGCTTTTACAATGTGCAATGCAGATACACAACAAAGTGCGCTCAAAAATCCGTAGCCCTGGGGCCTTACAGACCTAGGTGATCAGGCGATATAGCCTTTGTGTTATTCATAGCTTAGCAAGCGCAGTCTAGGTCAATAAAAAGGGAAAATTCCTATTTCCTAGCTAATCCTGCAGATTCATATCTTTACCGATGTGGCTATTGGTTCCAATTGTGGCTGGACTGGGATTCCCCTTAAAAATACAATTCTCCACCAAATGCTAGTAGGTTCATGTTAGTACCGTGGCATCGCGGTCATGCCTTTGCCAAATTCCTACGTAGTATTCGAGAGGCGTCTTATTAATCGATAAACAAATACTAATACGCTTACTTGTCACGTAGCGGCAGACAGCCTTCCGAATGACCTGGGCCGTTACTGCCAGTTGGTATCGGTAGTTGGTGTTAAAAAGTTATGTACATTCTTCTTAAAGTAATGGTTAATAAATACGATTAGTAGAAACTAGAAGTCTAATTTGGTATGAGGACTGAACCATTTTGTCAAAACTGTATAAACTGAGAGTAGCAATTTATTTCGCAAATTCTCTAAACAACAATTCTAACCATAAAACGACGAAAACGCATAATTCAATACCCATAAGGCAAAGGGATATAAAGACGAAGGGAAACCCGTCAGTATAAGGAATTTGACGAAAAATCAAATTATTCGATAAACATCTCGGATAGAAGTGAATCGATAACACATAAGATTATCCATGAGAGCATCAATACATAAATGTATCGCTCGGCACGGTACAAGTAGAGAGAGACGACGAGCGACCAATGAAATGAGTCACTTATAACAATTGGTGGGATTCCTTGTGACAATAATTCATAGATTGGGTGAGTAATGTATCACGAAAGTGTAAAGTTGGTAAAAGATCGGCGAAATTATGTGAAATGCATGGATTGGTTGTAGTCTTTGCATGAATCGCTGAATTTAAAAAAGCAAAAACGGATGCAGTCTACATTATCGATTTCTTTCTTTTTGAAACAAAAATTCTAATCTACGTAATTATAACGAACACGTTTACAATCACAATGCTGTCCGTGAGCTGCCATAAGAAATTACTTTTGAAGCACGTTAACCACGAGTATGAAGAAAGTGTGAGCGATGACGATAGTAGTCGTTCAAAGAACAGAACAACGTCGACGGGTGCAGTAATTATTAAAAGAGCCACGTATCATAATGCTAACCACGGATGGTCGAGTATGTCACTACTTGATGGACGAGTTTTTTCATTCACGTCTAATATGTATTCCAGAATCTCTGCAAATAATCATCATTCGAAAAATGTATGTTGCTAAGTGTCATGGAATTTAGATTCAGCACATCGTTGGCACACATATGTCGGCTCAATTTAGTCATCAAATTGCCAAAGGCTGAAGGTTTAGGTCTACAAACCATTCACCCTGCTTCTGAGAGGCATTACATGGGTTAGTATGACAGCTCAACCTCAATTGTGGGGGCCATAAATCATGAACCTTTTGTTATTACAAAAAGGTGACGAACCATTGATTTAAGCACTTTGGAAATGACAAAGAACGTTATATTCACACAAGGAACAGTTCTCAATGACCTTCAAATTTGAGGTTTTAGCGAACAATACGAGAATTAGATATCTCAATAGATGCAAAAGCTACCTAGCGTTCCGGGCGTCAAACGGTCGAATGGGCGTGGCAGTTTCCTCTCTAGCCATAATGAGAAATGCGGATCGCTTCTGAAAAACGGTACAAAACATCTCTTTGCCAAATGGCTTGCAAGCATCAATGCACGATTAGCAAAAAGCTTTCAGAGATTTGCTTTACAGCTTAGTGAAATTCTAAATATAGTGCTAAAAATAACTAAATAATTTGCTAAGCTTGCCTTCTCGCTTTTCTCCAACAACGTCGCCCAGCAATCATGAGAAGTAGGATGACTCCTGATGACCATACATCATTTTTAGTGCCTCTGTAAAATAGTCGTTTAGGTACAAGGCTGGGAAAAATTCGTGGAACTGCAGGGTTCGGGGAGTTGGGAATTCTCACGAAACCTTCTGACAGCAAAAAATACAAGTCTGTTGTACTTGTCACGTCTCCGCACTCTTTCAAACTGCTCATTTCTTTACATTCATTCATTCTCATTTGTACCGAGAAAAATCAACCTAGACATTTGCCAATGAGCAGAAAGAAAAAGCTGTTGTTGGCAATCACGATATAGCTGGGAGATTAGCTAGTAGATAATCTCAAAGGTATGCATAAGTTGGCCAAAAACTTGCACTTACAAGTACTTCTTTTTGAACATTTGCGGTGACATATAGTCACGAGTGCCACACATACGATCCAGCGGAACTTCTTGATTGGTGTGGGTGAACTCTATCTTCGTGGCCATACCAAAGTCAGTGATTTTTAATAGGCCTGAAAATCTTTCTTAATTAATTGTAGCTTTGAGATTCTTTCCACTAAGAACTTCTACGGGCAGCAGGAACCGTGTTACTTCAAAGCCCTACCATTACTATTAATGATTAAGTTGTCCGGCTTGAGATCTCGATGCGCTATGCCAATGTTATGCAGGAAATCCACTCCTCGCATAAGTTGACGATAATAATCTCGCGCTCTATGCACTCCAATTCCTCCGTGACGTCTTGAGTCTAAAAAAGGTAGATGTCTTCCTCCAATCATGCCGAGTTCGAGGGAACTTATATTTATTTAAACACCTCAAATAGTTATTCTAACGAACCAAATTTGATCTTTTCTATTTCAATGCAAAGACTTCTATAACTAATTTTCTGCTCTGTTTATGGAGCAGTCTAAAAGTGACTACCAATAAAGAAATATGTGCGTTTGCCCTAGCCGATCAGGCACTCACCAATTACGGTCCATAAATCATCACGATTGACGTATTCGAGGAAGATCTGCAGTTGATTTAACTCTACTTCATAATTAGAACCGTAGCATTGAACGATGTTTGGATGTCGTTGTGGACTTAATGCGTTTTGCAGTGCTACCTAAAATTAGAAATTGGGTCTATTTCCAAGCCACTTCCTTTTCAGTGCACAGCGTAGGAGTGGAGAATTCAGTACCTCAGCACGATAACTACTCTTCCTTAAATGATATTCTACAGAGTCATTTTATCACTATCGCTAGTTGTATTATGCCCTATCTACATATTTCCACCTGGACGAGTTTTCAAGAATAGGGTCTCACTTTCTCTTGCTGACACTCTTTCCTCCATCTCTCATTGATGGGATGGGAATTTATGGATTTGCCTGGTAGAAATTCCACCCGTACGCTATGCTTTGCTCTTTACCTAACAATCCGACAGTACAAAAGGGGTCAAACCTAACAAAAACGCACAATATTATTAGAGCTATCTGAAAGGGCAGAAATACTAAAAGTACCTCTGTCTTCGAGCATGAGAACCAGTAAAGTACAGTTGGGCAACTAAGATCGGTCCTCCCATGGGTGCCGCATTAGCACTCTGCAGCACCGCATGTAATAGTTGTTGCAAGTAGAATTTAAAACAAAAACTAATAGCTAAGTAACTGAAAATTACTCACTTCATTTCGAAATTTTTGTTTTGATCCTTCTCGCCTATGATCGAGATCGATCACTTTGAGTGCGATGACATCATTGGGAATGTATTTGCGATTGAACGGATTACGAATTAGATGCACTTCACCATAGGCTCCTAAATATTTGTGTATTATGTAATTCTGAGAACTGTGATTCCCAAGGGTGCTATGAGACACTGCTATCTGTTATTTGTTCCGTTTTTTCAAAGGCGAATGTTTACGCATCGTGCCAGCTGCAGTGAACGTTCACTGAACCCCAGTGTCATGAGTGTCGCTCCATTTGTGTATCTGCGTAGCGAGCAAAAAACAGTGGGATTAATTCATGGGAATTATTATTCGCCGCTTCACGATATACATTTATACGAGTGTAGAAAATGAAATGTTCCAACTATCCTATAGAAAAGTCTCAAAAAGAGAAATATATGATGTGGCTAAAAGGGCAAACTCTCACGCTTCCTGTCTTGCATTTTTAAAATCAGCTTAAACATTTCATATAGTCGGATTAATGTCATCTAGATGAAGAGCCAACTATTCTACTCTTGCATGAATATGATTTTTNNTTTTTGGAAAGGGTTTCAGTTAATTTGGGATACCCTGAAGTAGTAGTGCACCCTTGAATCATTACAACGAACTTCTGTTCAGATTGTTTTAAAAAACTCTGCGCAGGAGCTAATCCTTACCTGTACCAAGTAACTTTAGCGAATGATATTCATGACGAATAGTTCGATGTGACGAGGAGGATGACCGTGGAGCGTATTCCGACGACGAATCGCAATCCGAGTCATCGAGGCTTCTTGGAGGATCTGGCTTGTAAAGACAATGACATGATCGACCTGTGATGAATTCGCTGGGCAGTGAGTCATCGTATGCCGAACTGGTCCAATAAAGACGATGATCCATCTTAAACGGAATACAAAACTTAATCGGAGCAATATCAAAGTAAAACACAGCGGTTTCAAGGAAAATTGTAGAATGAATGTATAACAGTCAAATATCTGACGACAGCCTACTCCGTCCCTATGCCATTTGGTGAATTTTCCTTCGATTTTGGTTTCGAAGGAAAATCGAACTGGCGGAAGATGCGGTTTAGCTTTGCTTCCCGTTCCACAACAGCTCACTTCAGTTGAACGTGGGCATGTTTTGGAAAAGGAATGAAGAGAAAGTTAAGTCATAACGGAACTAAGGGCTGAAAACCAATGTAGTAGTAGTAATTCTGTAACTGTTTAACCTCATCATTAGCTTAGACCGTGTATAATATCCTGGCTTTTCATTCGACAGGTAAACAGATCTGAAATAACGATACCCTTTACTTTTTTTCTTTTAAAGCGGCTGCCCTTACGTCTTGTGACCAAGTCAGAGATGCAGAGCATAGCCTAGCCTGTACCAGCGAATGTTACGCAGTGTCACGAAGCATGAAAGAGGGGTTTCAAGGAAACATTCAGCAGACCATGAATAAAAACTACCCAGAAAACACTTAGAATAATTGAACAGCTTAAAATGACTGATATGTTTAGCAGATGTTAATCAAATAATAGAACTGATGTATGAATGAAGCTATAGCTGAGCCATATTGACAGCGACTAATGGAAAAGATTAAGAAAAGCGGATAGGATGCACTTAGTGTGGTGGCATAGAAACAACGAATTATAAGGATTTAAAGCGGCGAAGAAACTACTTCTGGCATAGAAAATACAAACTACATACTAAAATATTGGGTAGGCAAAAAAGTGCTTATATTTTTCACTATTTCACACATTTATCACAAAGAGTAACTACCTGTTTTTTAAGGTTATTCGTATTTATAGACTGGGTATCAACATATAACTGAATAGATATTTCTTTCTTTACAAAAATAGTATTGTATTTAATAAAATGTATGCAATTACTTAGTTCTAACCTAACAGTAACTCAGTGAGGTAAGAAATACTTGGGAGGAAAAAGAAAATACTTCTGGTTAAAAGTATTGGGCCTAATACTTTTGAAAATTAACTTTAATACGTCGCCAACAGTTTTATGGTGTTTCGATATGCGAATAAGAATTAATACGTTCCTGCTGCATCTCAAGCATTCATAAAAAAACTATCGAGAGAAATCTTATTTCAAGTTCTTGTGGCCTGAAGTTTTTAGTTCAGTTCAATGTAACAGAAGAATTAAACCAGTAACAAACAAACCGCAAANTCGGGGAAGCCGAGGGTGGGAGGGTGGCTGCGAACTCTGACGGTTGTAGTGCTAACGCCAGCGCTTGCACTATCTATGCACTTTTGGTCGCGATGGGTCACAGTGATTGCTCTATGAAGGCCCGTCCTGGACAAGAAACACATTGAAGGAAAGAGCGGAATGAGGTCGCCTGGCCAACGCCGTAATGAATTATTCCGTCGCCTGTGTGCAGAACCAAACTGGTGCAACCTGTTGTCGCACACAGTTCATCCCGCTTCGTTAGTGTAACCACTCCCCAGTCAAGAGATGGTATTGATTTTCCACCCACTAAATCAATATCGCCAGTCGTAGGTGACTCGGGTAAGAAAACGTGCGAAGGCGAACGTGCGAAATGTTTACTCAAGTTACAACAGTTGGAAAACGTTCTTCAAAAAGCTCTTGTAGAAAACATACCGTAATAAAAATCCACAGCAGGGAAGAAAATTCAGCTCAGGATCCAAACTTTTATCATGGACCGCCTGTTACGCAACCAGTACATGTTATTTTACGACATTTTACAACTTATAGTAGCACAAAGCAGTAGTGAGACTGACTGCGGAAGGAATTCAGGTCCGCAATGGATCTTACTTTCGATTACCACCTTTTACGCACTGGACACGCACTGGACCTTCTAGTGCGACCATGAAAACCAGGTGACTATTCGACTCTATTCGTTCTGTTCACTTATATCAAACACTTTAGATAACGAGCGTAGCGAAAGGAGCATTGTGTTTGCTCTTAAAAGGAGTGTAGGCCCATAAAAACAGCCACCCTTTTCTGCAGCAATCGAAAAGTAGCCATTTTGTGGTGAATGGGAGAATTCAATGAAGCAAACACTTGGAGACTAACGGGAAATGGGTGACTCAAAAGAAAGCCAATCTCGAAACACCGAAAAAACCCAATTCTGACGAAACCTTCACGAAATGCGAAACAAAGTGGGAGAGATTTCTTTGCAAAGTAGCTGGGAACCCAAAGTTCGATAAAAAGAAGGAAAACAGGTTATAATGGTGGAAAAGAGCGCACATACGATCGCAATAATGGTCAAACGTTGTATGAAATGCTAATCTTCCGCGCCGTCTAATTGATGGCATGCATTTGTTGTTGAGAAAGCAAAAACATCAGAAATGAAGTCGTTCAGAGAACGTGCATGCTTGAATTTCTTTTTCTGTAGAAATCTAATCTGGCCGTTCCAACAAAGACTTTGCAATCTTAAGGTAAAAAGCCTTGTAAGGAAAAAAGCAGTTTTGGTTTAAAAAAAACGGAGAAATGGAAAGCCTCATAAGAAATATAAAGAAATATGCCTTAGAAACTTCAGTACTACAATAAATTTGTGCAAAAATTCATATAGACGAACTGTCGGTAAAGCAAGTGGTTCCAGCAAGTCTTCGAAACCTTATTCTCAGCAGCATTAAAACCTAATGTGTGTTAAATAGATAATGTATAGGGCAGCTAGCAGACCTTATCGTTTTATTCTTATTTTTAAGCTTCGAATTATTATCAGTTTTATAAATTGGTGGTATGAATTTACTTCTTTTTCTCGATCAATAAATCAAAATGGAACCAACTATCATTAAAAGTCCCGAATCATCATAGCCATAAATTTTCCTTCGGCAAGCACGAATTGGTTTGGAACAAAGGAGGATAGTGATTCGTAAATCCGAAATGGGGTGGGGTTTTTGTCAGCCCGGGCGCAATCATGACAGGTCTTTGTCCAAAGAATCGATACGTGCTGTTTTATTTGCACTAAAATCTCGTCTTTGATCAGTTATACAACTTGGTTGAGATCGCCAATCTTACGTCAAGTAGGAAATTAGCAGGCCTGTTCGTTTTGTACCAATCTGGCAGAATTAGTTTACTTTGATTTTTTCATTTTGAATTCTAAAAATATCTAGAAGGGACGATTGAGCACAGATGAGCAAATAGAAAAAGAATGCCGACAAATACAGACAAAACCTGCTTACGTGTAACAAACGGAACAAGGGAAACCTACGCAATTGTAACGGGAGCAGTTGTTGTTGTAAACCGTTGATCTGTTTATATGACAAACGCACACAAAGGCGGTAAACCGCCAAGTTTCGAAATTCCCACCGTCAAATAAAGTGTATTGGATGTAATAATTTTGCACAAGAAACATGCACCAGACGACTAGAGTATCCCAGCGCGAGTAAGGTACACTTAAAACATATTGCAAGGTGTGCGGGAAAGATTGGAAGGTGATGTTAGACTAAATTGGTCCCGTCGCTAGGGTCTCTGCAAAAAACTCTCGTATGACCAAATTATCCCAGCTATTGCGTATGTTCATGATAGGAAACGAAGCGGCAAGGTTACTGGGCCATCGTATCAGGGTGGTTTGGCCCTTGACGAGCGCGCCAGAAGGTCGACATGCCACCTTTTTTGAAAATCATTACGAAAATTATGACAATCAATGAACGTGAACAAGAAAGAGTCGATAATTGCCGAATAAATTAAAAACCCGAAAAAGACACCCGGTTCTTACAGAACTCTAGCTATGGGTCTCAGCTGGAACGCCTGTCTGTGATGTAACACACCAGATGGCGGCCCCATCCAACTACCCATCCGTTTGCACAAGTTCCTTTTTTCAACTCGTCATTTATGCGACGGGATTGGGTTGTATGTAATGAATGAGGGATAGGTCGTAAAATAAATCGTGCAATCTGCGAAGTTCTGCGTCCGTGGCATTTTATTTCCCTTTAAGGTTACTGTAGGGAACGAGTTCCTGTGTTTATGCATGCCTTTAAGAAGGTTAGGATTTTATAGCATAAATTACCTTGCACAGTTTCACCTGGGTGGAAATAAAAAGGCAGGTGCCCTGGGAATACAAAGGCAGACTTGTAGTCACAACAATTACACTGAAATAAGTCATTTTTAGACGACGCAAAATACAAGTCTGGGGATTGAGACAGCATAACAATAAGGGTGGGATGTGGGTGAGTCGTCATCCAAACAGGCCTCAACAACGGGTTCCGCCTACTCCCTTCCCTCGCCTCCCTAGAAGATTAGTCGTAAATTGTATTGCCAAAAGCAACATTCGGGGGATATTGGGACTTTTGAAGGGAACGCCAAAGTACGATCTGCTCCCACTCAGGAACCTAACCAGTTTGTACGGTACAGAATGGCGGAACGACATGTTTCACATGTAAAAACCTGAATAAACCAGATGTTGTAACTACCTTGGCTTGTCGCACAGCTGTCTGTCATGTTTACCATGTTTTTACTTGTTATGTAGGCGCACTATGGCTGCAGGTTTTGGTGGGTGGCTGTTGATGACATATCGACCGCCCAATTTTATTAAGTATAAACCATGAGTACGAGTTCGGAACCCGTTCATGGCCGTAGTTTTGCCAACAGCTCGCCTATCTGTGAGACTTTCTTATTGCGTACTGGGACCAACTAACAGCAGTTAACAAAAACATTAAATGAAAAAAAACAATTCCCAAAAATATATTTTTGCAAAATTGCGAGAAATTATTATATGATGCTGAAGACCTGTTCAGACAGTGCTCAAGAGGAAACCGTTGAAAAAAGGCACATCGATAGAGTTTAGAGACATTTTAGTGAAACTTAGAGATACGGTGGCCTAAACAGCCTGCACAAGAATTCAATTGTGAGAGTTGAAATGATTTTGTAATGTTTAGGTGCATAAAATGCTGACGACACATTTGCCATTCTTAATGGGGCCGACAATGCTGAATTTGAAGATCGATCCGTTGATTCAGACAAGTGCTGTGACAGGGCTTGGCTTGCTGTTCGCCCAGACTGGTCATACGAATGTTGTCAACAAACTTCTTAACGAGGTACAAGACATTCTTCTTTCTAAGTATGAGCGTAGAAGCTTTTAGTGAAAAACAACATTGATGTGACATAGCTGAGAGGCGATGTCGCTAAAGGAGAAATCGAAGACATAAAGAGAAGGTGAAGGGAGTTGCACTATAAATACGTAGGCCAGACTGCACTTAAGGTACTCTCATCGCGTGGCTGACAAGTTCAGGCAACATGAGTCCCATAGTGGAACGAGAATTAATCAATATGTAGGCGTTTGAATTATATGTGCGGTCCTGAGCTGAAGTCCTGAGTTAGCCGATCGATTATTGCGTGTGCCAATAAGCAGATGTTGATGAGAATATTAACACTATAAGACATGGGAAGCGACTCCTTTCCAAATTGGCCCCTTGCCACAACGAATTGAATTTCATACTGAGAAAGAAAAGAAACATAGAAAAATAATAATAAATAATTAAATATTCTCTTTATATAATAATTACATGAAACTTTTTTGGAAATCAGAGAAATTTAGATTTCAAGGGGAAAGTAGAAGCAGAGAAGGCGTGACATTTGGTCAGACGTAAGGATTTTCTCCGTTAACTACCGAATACTTTATGCCTATCGTATGATTTAAATATACAGTAAGATTTGAATACTGTAGTATAGAAACATGCGTCCTGGAACGAAATACTAGAAGGGAGTTGGGAGGAAACATTGCACTTCGATTGTGATTGACACTATCGATCGATTCTTCGTGCATGCAGTGGGTGGGTTTCGAAAACGAGTTCACGGGGGGCGTGAACACTGGTCGACACTTTGCTAGGGAAGCGACTAGAACGATTACTTGTAGTCATTAAAATTACCGTAACCAGCCACTTTTATTTCTTAGACCCTCGGGAACTATCTTTGAATATAAGTCATTACAAGCGGATATTAATTTTGAACTATCTAATTCTTTCGCTAAATCATAGTTTGAGCGTTTATAGAGGGTTTGGTAAGAATGGTGAAAAGTAAGATAAAATTGATGAAAAAGGGTATATTAAACGGGCAACCGGTATGGGCTGTGTTGTTGAAGAGCAGGTGACGCCAATTCTGATGGTGTTAGGGTGGCTGTTTGGGAAGCGATCGGAAGAGCGTGGCATCTGTTAGAGGACGCAGGTTTTGCCCTAGCCCCCTAAATTGAAACGTTCAGGAGGGAATGTGAAAGTTCTTCATGTGGCCTTCTTGTTTCTACATTAGTATTAATTTTTTATTTTTATCCCTTCATTGCTTACTGTTGTTTTCGCCTTCTATTTTTTACTTAATTTTATATTATTTTTATATTATTAAAATTTTCCTATTATCATTTATTATTTATGTTTTATACAATATTTTTTNTTTTTTTTTACATTTTATTTGATCAATTTGCCATTTTATTTATGTACCTTTATTCTGAGCTGATTGTTATGATTTTTTTGATGAATTATTCGGAATCCGTAACCGTTGAGCTTGTTTTGCAATGATTTCGGCCGTTGCTAGTTTTTTGATTTATTTTATTTCTTTTAGTACATACAATTTTCTTTTATTTACATTTTTCGAATTTCCCAAAAAAAGATTTTGAGACATAGCAATACACTTTCTTCAAACTCGCTTCTAACGTTAATATTAATATTATTGAATTACTCAAAAAAAAGCCAGGCAAGGAGCAGAAAGCAGCTGACAATCCTTTACCTACGATTAGATCTAGCAAAAGGGAATAGAGAAAAAACTTTGTATTCGAGGAAAGTTGCGATGGAATCGTTTGCGGGGCCAGATGTGGTCGTTTTTGATTTAGTTGGGGGGATAGATAGCTTGTTTTGGATATGTTGAGTTTTATCTGAAAAACCGCTTAGTTAGGCGAGCTTCTAACCACTTTGGAGCGTTGATCGCTTCCATTTTTAGGATACGCCCCGCTTCCAAATTCCACTCAGAATCGTACTGCCGTTTGAACGTACATGTGGCCTATAAAATGAAAGTCTGCATGTGGCCCATACAATGATTGTCGCGGGTAGCTGATATTGAAGTCAGCGCTTTCATCCGTCGAAATGAGTCTGGTGCTAATTAAGGATGGAGTGTTTGGCCATCCTGAAGGGAATTTGCTCATACTATCAATACTCGGGCCATGCATTTGATAGTGGGGCGCTTAGCATTTTACTAGATCGTTAGGTGGTATAGAATCTCGAAATTTTCGGCCAAAATTCCACACACGCTCGCCAACATTGGCATTGGGATGAATCGATGCTTGAAGAGTGATTTAATGAGCTCCCCACATCATTAAAATCTTGGCGGAAACCCTATTCACGGGCTATCCATTTAATCAGCCCAAAATCCAACAAAGATTACTCAATTCATTTTATGTGCTTGGTTGAAGAGATGATTACAACTTAGAAAGGCAAATCCAAAGAACCATTGATAGACACTTGGGAAAGGCAAGCACTTATTAGAGGGAAGAAAGGGTTGGGAACACCTCTGCGTTTACTTTGTTAAGATAGAGATAAAGGTTATCTTTACGCGCTTGTTCTGAGCTGGTTATTATGATATTTTAATACCAATTCGAATTCGTAGAAGAAGAAAACTTAAAGATCCATCGCTGTTCAGTCCTTTTTTGCGCCCAGTATTTGGCTTTCCTTCAGCATCGTAGTGGCGTTTGAATGTCTATGTGACCTGTGCAATTACTTTTGATGGATGCACGATTCAGTGCTTTTGCCCTTCCAGACGAGCCATAGCAAACAACCGACTCCCAGAGGCGGAAAACCCTGTTGGCTTGAGCGAGTATCGGTCCCGGATTCGATCCCTGGGTCATGAATGTGATAGTGTGTCACTTGGCACTACCCTCTTGTACTCTCCTCCTATAATAGCGATATTTGTTGAAGGAAATCTTTTATTTCATGTATTACAGTATAATTGGTGGAACATTTCAGATAGGCAAGTCCCTACGAGCTGATGAAGAGCCATCGCCAGAACTGTCGGCTTATAAGCTGAGCGCCGGCTTCGCAATCGGATTAATATGTCTGGGTTTAGGTAGTTTTTATAGATTTTGGTTGTTTTACGATCGTCTCGATTAGATTTCAAGGTTTAATTTAGTCTTATTTTCTTGAAAGGCAAATGTTCCACAGCATTCAGTGAAATTGTTTATTGATTCTGGAACACCTAGGCGAATGTTTCGAATGACTTAAGTTATAGATAAAGTCGAACTGGAATGGTATGTAATAATCGATAAATATTTTTTGTTTAGGAGATGAAATTGCAGCTGCAAGGCCGCCTTTCAAACAACCCCTACCTTCGATACCGGATCGACTTCTGGTTTTGATGCTTGGTGGACCCAGGGTGAGTCTATTTATCATCTTTCAAATTACACAGAAACACATCCAATGTTTTGATCTGAATCCGACAATAATGAGCGAGAACATGGAGGTCCAAGGTTTGTAAGGGAAGGAAGTCACGATATTAAGGGATCAGGGCTTCGTTCTGGGTGGATGTTAGGCCAGTGGAAGAAAATGAGTAAAAAAAGCCGATCCATCTCACAATCAGTTTATATGCTAAAATTCGAGATCTACTGGAAAACCAGTTATTTAACACATCTCTTCTAGAAGGAAGGGGCTAAGATCTACATTAAAAATATACCCGCTTGTTCCTGCCGTGGGGATGGAGGGGTGTTCTTTTCGAGATGTTCAGGTAAAAACAACCACTCAGCCCCAGTTGGTCAAGGTTTTTGAAGAAGGTGCGTGGGTTTAGGTTATGTTCGAAGAGCCAGGTTTCTTCTCAGTAGTCTTCTCAATTCCAGAATCAATGCGTGTTTATTCATCCACAATTGATTACCTGCCCTGATGTCAACACTGCCGCGCCTGCTCCTCCGCAAGAGAACCGATCGAATCATGTTAGGGTGAGTATTCCGGAAATTACTCGAATTTGATTTTATTTGGAATATTGGAAAAGTTAAAATTTAAAGTGCAGCGTTTACTCATTCACTTAATTGGTTTTTAACTTCAGGAAGGTCCAAACGTGAATGTGCACATGACAGCTCATCCAGCCACCATCGCTCTTGGGTTAATGTACATGCGAACGGGTAATACAGCGATTGCTAGAGAGTTGGAGTTACCGGCTACGATATCGATGTTGGAAGAGATTCGCCCAGATGTGGTCAGGACGATTTATTGGGTTTTTTTTGGGTAGCAGCTTCTTTTAAGATCGTTTTTTCGAAGCCTCTTTAAGTATGGCTTCATAGTGGGTACACGGGGTGCTGAGCATATTTAGCCTATCGAGGGACGTGTTTAAAATTGAATTCAAACGGGCGTAGAAGAAGATGGCTGATGGAATTCCGGAAGTGAAGTGAAAGGACTACCCATCTGTAGTTTTTTCATTTCTGAAATGCCATTTTCTTAGGAGCGTTTGTTCACATCCTACGACAGAAGATTCTAGAGCTAGAATCCCAGGCTTCATTCTTGTAAATGATTCTCCTCAGGGTTGAGAGAAAATGTCTTTCTAGTAGGGTTTTCTTGCAGTTTCATTCTTTTTTTTCAGATTTTTGTTAGGGTTCTGGCTCGATCACTAGTACTTTGGGATATGATGCAACCAACCTGTGAATGGATTGATAAGCAGGTTTAATTTAATTTTTTTTTTATTTTTTAATAGATCGTTCCCATGTTCTCGTGTATTAGCGATAGATTTGAAGTCACTGCAGAGAAGAGGGCGAGGAACCAGCTTGTTGTAGTCGGCTTCCATCTGAGACCCTAAAGTCTTCGAAGAGCATATTTGCTTTGTACAGTGGTCTTACCAATGGGTACAGACCATGAAATTCTCTTGGGGCTTCACCATTTATGGTTAGCTAATAGTTACTAGTTGATTGATCTTGAACTATTCAAGGGCTGTGATCATTCGTAATCAGTTTTAGTTAAAATGAAAAACAGCCTCTGAAAATGAGATGGTGAAAGTAGTTGTACGTAGTTTGTTTCGCAGAGGTACCTCTTATTTAGTTTTTGTTAGTTCCGAGGCTTATCAGTTAGATAGGGCCTCCTGAGAAAAAAGGTCTCTGGCGATAGTACATACCGCCAAAGATAAAACGCCTGGGTGACAAGGAAGGAAAGGTGAAATGATAGGGAACAAAACCGGCAAACTCAAAAAATAAATAAAATAATAGTTCCAGAAGAAATGATGCATCTGGCACGTCGCGCTTTCATTCATCTACCTATTTGTATTGTGTTTGTACTTTTGACGAGTTGTCATGCTTCTGGAAGAATCCCATTTAGATTCCTGATATCATTCACGAATATGCTCAAACGGTATTGAAGTTCCCGTCCACAGTTGAAGTAGATATCACAGATGAAGAGCTAGCCTATTGGGATGAAGTTGTTGATAGAGAGACAATCGCTGAGGTTTGTGCTTTTGGGGCTGTTCATTTCTTTACTTCTCTCTTTTCGACTGTGACTTATACTTGAAACTATCTAATTGTTTTTCTAGTACCTTCGAATTTTCAAGTTTACAGGTGTACCTATACGCGATGACAGGTGCTTGCTTTGCTATGGCTCTGAAGTATAGTGGTACGATAGGAGAAACTCAAGAACGTGTCCTCAAAATATTGGTATGAAACGATTGTTAGTTTATTGTTAACTAACAGTTTACTACTGTGTTATCCTACCTATTCGTTCGATCAAATAATTGAAAGCCTCTATGATCCCACATGGCCTTTATTTTTGTCTAGCCTATATACCGTATATATAGGTACGTAAATTACCCGGCTTCTTGAGGAAATTTGAATTTTTTTAAAGTACTGTTACTG